AACCCTCTTCCTTCCAGCGTTCAAATATTATTTATTACAGTTTTACTGTTTTTTTATTTGTATTTTTAGTATTAAACACAAGTTCTGTACAATTCTATTACTTTAAGTGTACTTAAACATTAATTTAAACTCAATTAAGTATCGAACAAAAGCTGCTCTGAACACAAATTGTTGATAAGTCTGTCGTACATATTAATTGTTTCAAGCTATTGTCATTAAGAAAATCTTAATTACTATTTTTCCAAACTATTTTTTCCAAATTTTTAATTATTATTTTTTTGTGTATATAGAAGTTACTACCATTAATTATGTGCACTAACAAATAATTAGTCAATAATCAAGTGCAGATATAAAGATTTTCTGATTATAAAAATTGATGATGAATTATTTCAAAGAATGTGTTAAATCGATTACTTTTTATTTTTAGGATAAATGTGTTGATAAAATGTTCATATCTTCGTAATATAACATTCGTAATATCCATATGACAATAATTACTTATACGTCGCATATTATTTAAGAGTTAGGGAAGGATGAGCTTCACAGCAAATTCCTTAACGTCATTTACTAAAATCGTTCGATCATAAGGCGCATAAATTATTGAATTAAATTAAATTCATATCAGTCTTTTCACTTCGATAAAGCAAGCAGTCAGTGCTCTAATTGGCTCATATATATATATATAAGCATATATGGTATGTAGTATAATAATCTAAATTCAAAGTGCTAGCAAAGTGCTAACAAAAGAGGCGAAAAGTTAAATAGACATGAAGGTACAAAATTTAACGTGGATACTTGCTGTGAACGTTCGTCGCACATGCATCGGTATATTGTGCCGATGAATGCCCCATGGGAATTCCTTGGAATTCCGCTGGTATCTGTTGAGTTAAATAAACAGTATCACTGTTTATTCAACTCAAGGCGTATAAGCCTTAACGGCTTAAGATTACGATGCTCTGCAAACACGTTCCATTAGAAATTAGAATGAATTTCCGCTGGTGCCAATGAAGCAACGTATACAGGACATAAATTCCAACTTGGTTTGATGCGAGGCCCACCGAACCTCTGCTAATCTTTGGGTCACAGCACCCAGTGATGAATACGCAACTTCACGCCGAATAAATGATAAACAAATACCTGATCATTCTACCCACGTAAGTTTGGGTATTAACCGCAGTCACTTCGAGTCCAACCTCAACTGCTCAGCACAGCCGAAGCTGCGGGCCAATGACCCCGTAGTACCAGATTTACACCAATGATCGAGTGTCGCAAACTGCGATAACACTTACTACCATGTTCACTTCCTGCTAAGTGACGGCATAGCGCCGAGATTTAAGTCGCCTCTCACGACAAGGATGCCTACCTCGGAAATATTCTAACCCCTTACCCGCAGAGAGAGAGAGAGAGAGAGTTGAATAGACAGAAAGCTAATACACTGAGTATTTGCTTTGAGCGTAACTGCAATAAACAAAGAAAATTAATATTTGAAGACGCGAAGGACGAGCTATTGGCAAGAAACTTTAGCAATTCATCAGCTTTGCTTATTGTATTCTAATGTAATCTGCTTTGAATACACTTAATATTAATATATTATTGAATACAAACAGAATAGTATTGAAATTTAACAATTAAAAATAAAAATAAAATTAATTGATTCAATTATTCTACAGCTGGTTTATGATTTCGTTCTAATATAAATGTAGCAAGTAAATTTAATAACAAAACTTTCATAGCAAAGTAACAAACTTCCAGAAAAATGTGATAATATAAAAGTTAAGTACGACTTTGAATCAGTTGATTACTGACTGTGAGCAGTTGATTACTGACCGCTGACTGTGAGCTTCAAATTTTCCAGGACACAAGTTCGATTCCTGGTATTTGCAGTCTCAAAAAAAATTATTTACGAATAATTAAATACAGTAATTATTTCCAAGACCACTGATGATGGGTATTTGGAGATACTTGAAACAGCTGTTTGGTCAGCCAAAAATTCAATTAAATAAAATAATACAAAATAAATTTTTGTTGTTGTAGTTCAGTACTATTTTAAAAACCTCTTTATTATTAAATATATTATTTTAATATTTAATATTAAATTAATTTTTATATAAAATTTGTATTAAAATACCAAAGAAACTTTCTTTTCATTCTTATAGAAATTTATATTAATTTAAAATATTATTTTATATATTCAAAGCAGTGATAAAACTTTCATATTAGTTTTATTAATTAATTTTCAATTTCTTAATTGCTTTATTTAATTAAAATAAAATTTTAGACTTTGTCTTTTGTCAAATTTATTTTGAAAATTATTTTCAAATTATTTTCAAAATAATTAATTAATTAAATATTTATGCTCACACTTAACTCGCAATTGACAAATGCCAGTAAATTAAACGGAACTGTAACTGCAAAGAAACAACAATGCGATGCATGCATATACAACAATAACAGCAACAACAACACTTTGAGTTTGCTGCCCGTACATGACAAGATGGCGAACTCAATTCGATTTTAATTTTCATTTTCATTTTAATATCACAAATTAACATTCTTCGTTATTAAAACAAATGTCCGAGCAAAAATGTCAAATGTGCATAAAATGACAGCACAAATAATAAATTGTCATTGTTGTTGTTGTTGTTTTTGTTGTTATTGTTTATTTATTTATGTAGTTGTTGTTGCTGGTTTGTTGTTGTTATTGTATTGGTTAGAAGTTAATATCACATTTTATTTACAGTTAAAATGGTTTAATGTGCAACTCAAACCATTAACAACAACAACAACAACAACGAATTAAATAGGAAAATAAATTCAAACACAATGCGAAAGGATAAAAATTTGAGCAGATAAAGCGAGTGTGGATGTCGAAGTGGAAGGCAATGGGAAAAGTGTGAAGGCGACGGCAACGGCAAGAGCGAAGGCGAAGGTGGCTGCATTGCTATTTTATATGACATTCTAATTGCAGAATGCAGTCGATGCAAAAGTGCAAAATCATGTCAACAGCAATTTTCCATTGGCATTGGCACCAGTAATGGCAAAACGACGACGTGCAGAGTGCAACGTGCGGATTTACTTGCATTTAAGTTAGCAGATCGCAGTAGAGGAGGTGAGACGCTGCTGGCGGCGGTGGTGGTGACAGTGTTAATGTTGATGTTGGTGGCATTATTGGTGGCCTCTCTGTAATAGTGTTAACTCTTGTATTTTTTTTTTCGTGTTGTTTGTGTTATGAAATGCTTAGTGGGTACGGCGGCGCTTGTACGCTTCAAATTGTATAAAGACGTTATTGTGTTGTTGTCTATTTAAAATATTTCCTTCTCGCTTACACACATTTTTCTTTTATCTACTATAAGCTGTGTAATGTAGCTTTTCTTGTTGGAATTTTGACATTATTGTGTTGTTGTTAATTTACTTAGCATTTTCATATGTACAGAATATTAGTTTCGCAAGAAAAGAATACAGGGTGATTTTGCACATATTTTACATAACATAATTTTTCTTTATATTGTACTAAGTTTAAAACATGTCCACTGATAGTTTTTTTTGTATTATTTCATGAATTTATATAAACTGATCTTTTTAATTATGATTATTATTATTATAATGTATATCGCAACAGATGTTAAGGTCGGAATTCACATAATTCACAGATATAAGTATAAGCGATTTTATGTTCTGTTGAACTGTAGTACATGCTCCACATCTATATAGTCAGAATTCACATAACTCCGTATACAAGCATCAGCGATTTTTTGTTCTGTTGAACTGTAGTATATGCTCCTCATCAATATAGTTGTTGGTCTTTATACAGATCGTTACATGTCCAATGATTATGGAAACCAATGGTCATTCACTTGTTATGTCTCTGTCTGGGGCTACAGATGCATCGATCTGTTCTTCACTATCTTTAACAAAGCTTACGAAAATAAGCTTATGGGATCTACTTAATCTATAAGATGAAGAGTTAATGAAAGTTAACTTTATACGGAATAACGTGACAAGAAGTGTATGTGTAGGCCTTTTGAAACTATCCAGCTTTACGCAGACGTCTTATTAGTACACCAAAGAAAATGTTTCTGGATAATGTGGGATAAAAATAAACTTATTTTCAATTTTATGCATACGTGAATGTGTAGATGGTTTTGCGGAGAATGTTGAGAGAGTCTTTCAGTGAAATCGGGTGGCCTACATCTGTTGGGGTGGTTGTCTGGTGCTCTATTTAACCTACATAAACTACTTTTGCCTACTATACTTTCTCAGAAAGCTAATGAGACTTTAGATATTCTTTTTGTTTAGTACGAGTAATTTAATTAAGAATGCCTTGGATGAGTTTAATCTTGGAATCTTTTTTTCTGTATTTGTATTTGTATTTATAGCTTAACCTTTCTTTCTGCTAGCTTAAAGATTATTAAGAATTCTACATGAACTTAAGATAATAGTGCAAGCAAGATAGATAAGTTCTAGCCTGTTGTACATCAGTGACTTTGAATTATATATAAATTTTATGTATAATATATATCATCCTTTTTTTATTTATTTATTATAGTTGGTTAGTGGTTATCTAAATTTTTTGAAAATATTTTTAAATTATCCTTATTTCGAAAAATGTTGATCATTGCGATGGTTAGTGTCACTATTGTTACGCAATTTAATCGGTACTTAATTAATGTAAATTGATACTATCTTAGTTAGTATAAATTAAATATATTGTTCACTTCCTTATGCAAGGACATAAGGAATAAACTTTCATTTCGTTTATCAAGCAATGGTGAATTAAGTATCAGTCACATAACCAAATTAACAGCTGCGAAAAATTGCAACGCGAACGACCAACGTGTTAGGGGAATGTGTCTCAGAATCCTTATACATTAAAATTATTGTAAAATCGATTAAAGAACTTTAATAAACTGTTATCTTAAGTGAACCTTTCATTTCTAAATGACAAGCAAAGGAGGTTCACACAATAAAAAAAATTCAATTAGGTATTATCTTTAACAAACCTTTTAGTATCCATCCACATGTGAGATAAAGACATTCATTATGTGAATTTTTGATTAAAATTCAATTATTGGAGATAACAAACTGTAAAGTGCAAGTTTACAGTTAAAACAATTTTTACTTAATTTTTAAGTTAATTAGCACTACAATGCTCACCTTAAAGAACTTCATTCCTCACTTCAGCATTGGCTTTTGTTCTCGTCTATTCTAAAGGCAGCGGACAAGATAGACCTGAAATATGATATCCATTAAAAGTGAATAAAATTAATAAAATGACATTAAATTGGGCACATGCCCGACACTCACAATGCATTTGCATAATTTTAATAACAGCATTAAACTTTTAAGGACAACAATAACAACAATAATAATAACAACAACAATTACAACACCGAAAATTACTTTATTGTGAGTTAACCGAAAAAGCTGGGTGAAGAAGAAGACATTGCAGATGAAGAACAAAGAAGCGCTGAAAGCGTGAATGCGAGACCGTCAGGCAAGTGCAGTTGAATTAAAATGTACTTAAAAAGACAAAAAAAAAAATAAAATAAAAAGTATCTTAAATTATGTAAATTGTGACAACAGACAATGTAGAATAAAAACAAATATTGTGCGGGTGTAAGTGAAGCACTAACGTGCAGCGCAGCAGCACTTTTAGCGCCAAATTCGAATCAATGAAAGCACAAATAGTACTTCACAATGGAACCAAAGTCCCCGTCTATGGCAAATCATGCTAATTGCCATTGCAGTCAACAACTAAAAAAAAAAAACAAAATAAAATAAAAATAAAATGAAAATAGAAATAGACAAAAATAAAATAAAATTTTTAGAAGAAAAAATCTACAACGAAATCAATTCACAATGAATCGGAAGCAAAATTGTATGCAGGCTTGAATGAATGGTCTCAGCTGCCGTTGCCACATTATTATAGTCATTGCCTTATTTTCTATGCCATCGCAGTTGATTTTCCAAAGATGTGCTGCATCATACCAGCACAAGATTCACTTACAAATTTAATTAAGTTCAATTGAAAGCGACACTAGTCATTGTTGCAAACACGTTGCGCGACAAACTTTTAAATGACAAAACAGATCTGCATGAAGGCATGAAGGCAGGCAGGCAGGCAGGCAGACAGTGAGATGGTGTGACGTAGCACACCATCGCATACTATATATCGCACCACAACACCACTCCACAACGGGACCGTATGGAGCAGCGTCTGGCAATTTTATGCGGAGGCAAATAATTGAGCTACGCGTTTCCATTCTATTAATACAATTCCTCGGCATTTTGACTGCTCGCTGATGGCTGCGGAGGAGTAAAAGGCGGACAGATTTCAAATGCAGGCATATGTAGACAACAATACGACACAGTGTGTCAGAATGTCAGCGATACGACTGACTCCGTCCGATACAATGGAGTGCGAATTTGAGGCTGTTGGCAATTAAATCAATGAAAATTTAATGAAATGTTGTAAATTACTCAAATTTGCATAGAAATTTGTTGTTTTGCTGGCATAATGTCATATACAACTGATATATGACAAACATGCCACAGATATATATTATTAAAAATTGCTTTATAATACAACATGAATTGGTAGAATTACTTTTTTAAATTAATATATGAGAAACAATGGAATATAAACGCTTAACTCTTTCATTCATTTGTGGCCGAAACTTTTAAGCCAAAGAAAGATCACAACATTCTTAATAATTGATACTTGGGTTATTATTTTATTAGGTGTACTTTTTAGTGCCAGTGTTGCTATCAACTTTCCAAAGCACTATAAAAGTTAGTTGGGATTATCTTTTGAGGTGTTTTTGCATTTGGACGATAAAACTTATTTTAAACCTATTATATTATATTTATATTCAAATTATATTATATTTTAGTGCAGCGTAATAAATTTATTGTCTTTATCCATAGTAAATTGGGCTATTGACCGACCAAAGTATGCTCAACAAAAACCTGAGTAGATTGGGTATTGTATCAAACCTCATGTGGAGATCGTGCGACGGAAAACTTGAATTGCTTATTTAAATGACAATAATGACCCCTTACAAAGCAGTCAGCACTAACTAATTAACTAATTACATACACACTAACTAGTTAATAAAAGCATACGCACTAACTAGTTAGCAAATGCATACACTCTAACTAGTTGGTAAGTACATATGCACTAATTAGTTATTAAGTAAGTAAGTAGATACGCACTAACAAGTTAGTAAGTACACATATGCATAACTACGTACATTAACTAATTAGTTAATATACAATTAACTAGTCTAACTAACCTAGTTGAATTCATTCTCGCCACCTTATTAGCAGCAAGTTATAAAAATTATTAAATTCTTTCACAGTAAGTACTAGTTAGTAAATACTTTCACACTTACTACTAGTTAGTAAGTATATACATACTAATGTTTGGAGAGCAATAATTGTTAATACGACCAGTTAATTGCAATGTTACTAGTTAGTGACAATTACATGTGTGAGAACTGACTAGAACTAGTTAGTGCATGCTTATTTACGGCTAATAAGAACGTGTGCACTCGCATACTAACTAACTGCATATTCTGCATACCTATTTTTAGTTGATTAATTTTTACTGTTACTAATTATATACAAATTAACTACTAGTCAGTAAGTACATACACACCAACTATTAGTTAATAAGGAAATATGTATTAACTATTAGTTAGTAGTGTATTTACAAAAACTATCAGTTATGTAGTTAGCACATACATAGTAACTGCGATTTAGTAATAACTATAAGTTTGTTATAATTGAGTGTTATTAAGAGCATACTTACTTTGTACTAGCATCTAGGTATAACACATACTCGTTATTAGTTAGTTAATATTTACTACGAATTAATAACAAAATTACTAGTATTTAATGCAACAAGCTGGTTAGATTCATTAGATGTAGAGAGAGAACTTACAAGAGAATCGAAGAATTAGTGGCGTTAGTTGCGAAATTGATCACTGCTGTCATTGTACTCGTTTACCTGTTTTTCTTAGAAGTTGAACCCATTACTTTATATAATAGTAGACTTGAATGTCAATACTTTATAATTCTACTCTACTCTACTCTTCTTTTTATATGTTGTTTGCATTTAAATTCTTTATCCGTTTAAAAAGTTTAAATAAAAAATTTTAGTTCTTCAATCTTCAATATAGTCTTTCAATACACTCTTTTCAGGACTTCAATATACTAAATGGAGTTATTTAGAGTATTTACTGTGATTTCATTATAGTATAATTAAGAATGAATACAAATTATTTTATTTTATTCACAACATTTACTATATAAGTACATAATACAGACAAGTCACTTTGCCTATTACAGTATACGTTATGGAAATAAATTTCGTCTTGAATGTTGTCAATTAAAAAATTTAACATTTAATAAAGTTAATTGAATTTATGTCTAATATCGACAACAGTAAAGAGAAATGAGCCTGCAATTTCGACCCATTTATGCCGGCTGTCTATCAAGAGAACTCACATTTCCAGCATATCCAAGTAAAATCAATTCTAATGTCAATATTTTCGCAGTGGACGTATGCATCTTCAACTCTAATTTCTAAACGTAAACCATTTAAAATTTTAATCAAATTAAATTTCATTTAAAATTGTCATGCTCAAGTCGAAACGTAGAAGGGTTGTCAATACGTCAGACAATTCCCAATAACAGTTTCATTAGACATCGCCGGTTAGTCGTACTAAATACGCGACTACAGAAGAAATAGTCTCACACGTCCGAATGCTAAATGTGTTATTGAAGTTGTTCTTGTTGTTGTTGTTGTTGTTGTTGTTGTTGTTGTTGTTGTTGTTGTTGCAGTTAAATTTACATAATTGAATTCAGTTTATTAAAATACGCACTACACGATTACGTCGAATACGTAAATCGGAGTCCAAAAGATTTGCTTTTATGTTGAAACAATTGATAGATCCGGTACGGAGCGCGCACATACAATGCCTTCCATAAATAAAATCATATGTGTATGGTCATTCATATAGTACCTCTGTTGCTGCTGCTACTGCTACTACTGATCAACAGCAACAACAACATTAGCAACAACATAATTTTCTACTTATCATATATGTATGTTGCTACCCTAATGCCTGAGTGCCTGAGTGCCTGAATGCCCTGGTACCCCATTATGTGCTCGGCTATGAGTTGGAACGCAAAAATCACCGCAATTTGTCAATAAAAATGAAACTAAAGTGGATTTTTGTGCGCTGATTTGATGGATGCTGTATGAAGTGGTGCTTGCCTGAAGTGAATGGTGAATAAAAAACACCACAGCATCAACAATGAAAAAATTTACGAACGTTCATATGAGTGTGCATGCGTGTGTGTTGCTAATAGCGAAATTTTTTCCATTTGTCTATTGTATGGATAGCTGCTCTATGCGGGCGTGTGATCTGACATAAATATGACACTTAATGACACATTATTGAGTTGTTACTCATGCGAATGCGGTAATCGCTTTATTAAGATTAAAATAGGAACTCATGACTGGTCATTGTGCCATTTGAATTTGTGCTGTCGTTAATCAACTCTACTTGTAGTAGGAAATACACAAATATGTTTATAGTAATCTTATTGTGAACTCAATAGTAAGAACCACACAACTATTAATTCTCTATTAACATTGGGTATTTCAATAATTTTCGCTGATTTGGATTGTAGCAAATTAGGATTCATCCCAAGATAGTGTTGGATTACATTGAAATTTTGATGGGAAGTGTGCAGAAACAAAGGTAATTTAAGTAAGGGAACAAATATATATTTATTATATATCAGATTATTACTGTGCATATATAAGTTAATAAAAATATGTTCAAAAATGCAAGTAAAGTTAAGTTTTATGAGTGTAATTCAATACAATAATATATTTGAAGAGCTTAGCCAACCGCAGAAAGCGAGTACACAAGATATTGTGCTTTAACCTACTTAAAGATCAATACAAGTTCTTGGTACAACTTCCAAGTAGTAATACGGCGTACAACGAGCGTCATTCTTAGAACTTTAAGTGTGATTTGTGAACGTGGTTTGATACCCTTCAACTAAAATCAGCTACCAAAAGAAAAAAGTAGACATGAAACTGCCTCGGAAATGGATGAGGACACTTATTACCTAAAATCAGTTAACAACACAAAAGAAAATTGACCAGAAGCTGCCTCGGAAATATATGAAGACACCAATTACCAAAAATCAGCTACTAAAACAAAACAAAAATTGGCTTGAAGCTGTCTCGGAAATGGATCTTGGCATTGAAAACCTTTGTAAACGACATGAGGTTTATACATTGTGACCGAAAAGTTTCCGGAAATTTAAATAAAACGCAAAATTCTTTATCTTCATCAATATTTATTTTATCTCCTTCAAAATATGCTCCATTAGAAGCGATACACAAATGCCAACGTTTCTTCCAATCATCAAAACATTTTTTATAGGCGCTTTCCGGTATGGCTTTGAGTTTCCTCTGCGAATTCTGTTTTACGTCTTCTATGGATTCAAAACGCGTTCCTCTGAGTGGTAATTTGAGTTTGGGAAACAGGAAAAAGTCACACGGTGCAAGATCAGGTGAATACGGGGGCTGTTCGATGGTATTTATTGAATGTTTGGCCTTAAAATCGTTGATAATGTTGGCTCGGTGCGAGGGAGCATTATCGTCATGAAAAATCCATGAATTATCCTTCCACAATTGAGGCCGTTTACGGCGGATATTTTCACGCAAACGTCTTAAAACAGTCAAATAATAGGCTTTATTGACTGTTTGTCCTTCAGGGACGAATTCATGATGCACCACACCACGAATATCGAAGAAAACAATCAGCATTGCCTTGATTTTCGAGCGACTTTGGCGTGGTTTTTTCGGTTTCGGCTCGTCTTTTCCTCTCCATTCCGATGATTGTTGGCTTGTTTGCATGTCGTACTCGTAGACCCATGTCTCGTCACCCGTTATGATGCGTTCCATGAAAGTTGGATCGGAATTGGCACGATCAAGCATGTCTAACGAGACCTGTCCACGATGGTGTTTTTGGAACAAATTGAGGTGAATCGGAAAAAGCCGAGCGTTGACACGTCGCATACACAAATTGTCCACCAAAATCAAACGAGCCATCTCACGACCGATGCCTAGCTCTCGTGCTATCTCTCTAACACTCACATGAGGATTTTTGAACACGATTTCCTTTGCCTTTTCAATGTTTTCGTCGGTGGTAGAGGTCGAAGGTCGTCCAGAACGCGGCATGTCTTCGACGGTCGTACGACAGTCCTGAAAGGCTTTGTACCACTCATAAACTTGAGTTTTCGATAAAACTGATTCCCCATAAGCCTTTTGTAGCATTCGCAACGATTCTGCACACGAAAATTCGTTCGAAACACAAAATTTGATGCAAACTCTTTGTTCAATATTTTTTTCCATTGTTTTTTTCGCCACGCACTACTGAGGTGAACTGGTTTCAACAGCTGCCGTAAACGAACTGTCTGACAGATCGCGCTCATTTTTGGCATAGTAATTAAGGACAGTGCTGCCAAACTACATAAACTTAAAATATCGAAAAATATACAGCGCGCGAGTTTTAAATGAGAATTTCCGAAAACTTTTCGGTCACAATGTATTGAGGGATTCAACATCAAGTTTTGAGTACACTAAAGAGGAATACATAACAATAGGAATAATTAGTTGTTTTACCAACAAAACACGCATGTCAACAGGTGTATACTTCACAGAAAGGTTCAGACCTCTTAAACATGCAAAAGATTTTCTAATAACTTGGTTAACATGTTCGCCAGCATGCAGATTAGTGTTCAAATGGAAACCCAGACATTTTACCGAATTAGTATATTTAATAATTGAGTTGCCAAGTGTTACAGATGGCAAGAAATTAACATTAATATTTAGCCTAGCAATTGGTAGAATTGAAGACTTGTTTATATTAAGGAACATATTATTTTGCTTAGCCCATACCACTATGTATGATAAATCTACATTAGTCATTTGCACGAGGTCATTAATATCAGAAATCCGACAAGATAGATACATTATAATATCATCTGCATACGCATGAAATTTAGCATACTTACATATTGAAAAAATATCATCAATATAAATTGAAAATAAAAGAGGTCCTAGTACAGAGCCTTGAGGTACCCCAGTAAATAAAGGTTTGAAATTAGAAAAAGCATTCTCTACGAGTACAGTCTGTTCCCTTCCAGTTAAGTAGCTATAAATAAATTCAGAGGCCGACTTAGAAAAATAAAAGGAATGAAAAAGCTTTTTACATAATAGAGAATGGTCAACACAGTCAAAAGCTTTGGTAAAGTCAAGCAGACATACAAATGTTACTAAGTTTTGATCATAGCTACATCGAATATCTTCGAGGACCTTAAGCATTGCCGTCGTACAACTATGACCTTTTTTAAACCCAGACTGGAGAGGAGAGAGAAGTTTAAAACAGTTAAGATGAGTACGTATTTGATCAGCCATAATGTTCTCACACACTTTAGAGAGTGAAGGGAGAATACTGATTGGACGATAATCGGAACATGAGGATGCATTAGCCTTGTTTTCAATAGGAATAATCTTGGCTTTTTTCCAAACAGTAGGAAATCATGATGTAGTGAAGCAGTGGTTAATAATGTGCGTCAAAGGAGTAATAATAAATGGCAGTATAAGTTTAATAAATTTATGTGGAATTTCATCTATTCCAATAGCGTTTGACTTAATTTTCATGACAATATTAAAGACAGTTTCTTCACTAACACATACAAAGTCAAAAATGCGTTCGGAGGGAACACTCTCAAGTTCAGGGAAGACCGGAGCAACGTTCAATCTATCTCCTATAGGAACAAAGAAATCATTTAAAATGTTAGGATCAATGCTACATACATTTCTTGAGCTATTAACTACCCCTAGAGCTTTGATGTTGCTCCAAAGTGATTTTGTAGGTTATGAGGTATCTAGTTTAGATTTAATGAACCTAGATTTAGCAAGATAAATAGCC